ACCCTTGAAATAGTGATAAAACTTCAACTTTTAATGAATCTCTTTGTCTAATCAGCCTTGAATACAATGCCACCATCTTGCTATCTTTATTTCTGATAAAAACCCCCTGAGGGTCCAATGTTTTCCATGGAGCTTCCATCAAAGTTCAGTTTTATCATATTTTGTGACGGGTGTTTCCATCTAGTGATTTAAGAGGCTTGCCTGAGACGTGTCTAAGTGCCTAGGTACCAGGTGCATCACTTTCAAATGGCTTGCGCCTAGTATGCCTGGGCATGTATCTAGTGCACCTTGTGCCTTAGCCTAAGCGTGCACATGGGTGTGCACCTGGGGCACAATTTTTGCAATTTTTGATATTTTTTTTAATTTTGCACTTTGCTTCAAAAGGCGTGCACCTTGGGTGCAAAATGGTCTTTGCACTTTTTTTTTGCACCTTGCGCTTTTAAAATACTACTTCCATCAAAATTTGCTTCATAAGTGATGAGGTAATCATTGTGTTTCTTTTTAATTTGTTGGTACTTCACCTTTAAGCATTTCATTGAAACTAGCAAATTTTCCAAAATCTAACATTTGTTTCATTTTACATGGTAAGGCATGAACTAAGTATAAGTCCATACATATAAATGTATGTATGTGACCCTCAACTTGTCCAAGTTATATTGTGTCATTCTTTATAAATTTTATTTGTAGGGACTGTTGCTCTAGGAACTTTTTAAAATATAAGTTTTCTTTGCAAATATGCTTTTCAAAAATTACTCTAGTAACTTTTGAAAAATAAATTAAGTCCCTTTTATATAAAATGCTAAAATCAATTTCAAGGTGGAGAATAGAATCAGATAAAGGCCAAAAAGTAAGAAGGAAAACAAAATTCTTAAGTTCTGGAATGAATTTTTAAAGAAAAAAACAATGTATTACAATGAGTAAATATAAAATGTTATAAATTAATAGTAGCAAAAAGGCCAACTTAATTCAGGAAAAAAGATATGGATAAAGGTACAAATTGGATGTCAATTTGTGGGGATCACAAAGTACAAGAGAGATGGATTTTCTACAATGATTTATTACTTTATGATATCATTTTCTTAAGAATGAAAGGACCAAAATTAAAGGAAACTCCTTAAGAAATTATTAAGTAGTCAATATTAGAGAATATTGTTAAGGGTAGACCTAAAAGGACATGGGTAGAAATAGAGAATATTGTCGCACGCATAGAAGACCACCAACAGCTTTGGTTAGAAGAAGTGATTTGTTATAAGTGGAAGGGGCTAGAAGAGTTAGGGGTAGACCAAAAAGGGCATAGGTAGAAGTAGTAAGAAGTGATTCAAGCAATAACAGTGGATATGATTTTAAATAGAACGGTTTGGCGAAACAGGATTCATGTAACAACCCCATATAGTTGGAATAAGGCATGGATGATGATGATTGCTATGAACCATTGAGTCAAGTTGGTTCCTCAAGATTTTATTAGATTATAGGAGCTATTTATTTAAAAGACATTAATTAAAATTGGACCTACCTTTATATACGCATATGCTTGTGAGTGGGTGTATATGTTGTAATGAAACATACGTTCATTAATTAGTTCTAGTGTGTTGAAGTATAACTAGAGAATTTGATAGAAATGAAAAATAGAGAAAAAAAATAAAAAAAACACATAGAATACAAAGATTTGTGTGGTTCAACAAGATGCTGACATGTAGAGCAAAGATGATTAGAATAATCCACTATATCTAAGAAGAAAGTAATGAAAAACTAAACTAAAAGAGAATAAAAAATTGGCAAAAAGAAACATTTTCCTAAAATTAATACTTTCTTGCCAAAGTTATTTTCTTCCCATAGATACAGGGTGTCAATTGGGCTGGATTTGGTCCAATCTGATCCAGTCCAATATGGATCCATTCCACATGGACTAGGTCCAATCCAATCTGATGAATACTCTGTCCCGTTTTGGACAAGTCCAATTCAATGTCTTGACCTTCCAATCTATTCAAATTGGTTTTAATTTAGATTGGTTCCAACCCAAACCTGGTCCATTGATACATGCATTCTTGTCTTCTATCAATGGATCGGATATTGGTTCAATCCAACCCAATCCAATATAAAGCCATTAGAGATAGACCAGGTTCAATCCAATCCAATAAATATAAATAATTTGGACCATTAAGTCTGGATTGTTCCAATTCAATATGTCTCATTGGTCTGTCCAATTTGTCCAAATTGATTTGATTTGGTCTAACCCAAAATCGGTCCATTGGCACCTCTAAATATACTCTTTTAACACCAAAGTAAGGCTTTCCATATCTCAAATGATCACTACACTAAGAAAATCAAGAACCTAAGTCAAGATATAAACATACAAGATTGTCATAAAGAGGTATGCTTCTATCCTAAAGAGCACTCCAAAGCACACTAGAATGTGTTCCTCCCCAATATCTTGCCTCTCTCCCCAATAGCATCCTCCTCCTTTTCTATTGAAAATAAAGGCCTCTAAAATATCCCTTAAATTCATGAAATTAAAGACTAAAAAGAACATTAAAATTCTTTCATATTAATAGGCCCATTCGTAATGAATAAATAAATGGTTGACAATCCTCAGTCATCTTTATGCATAAAATATGATAGCTAATTAATACTATTGCCATCTGTTTATTTTATTATGGTAAGTTTTACTTTTCTTATAAAGAAAACCCACCTTGGATAATTCTTTAACTATAGAGTAGCTAAACATCCAATAATCATCACACCATCAGCTTATGAGAAATTGTCACTACAATAGTGATTTAAACCAGCACTTCATGAAACAAATTAGTTCATTTAACGACTAGAGTTCCTTTGAAAATTAATTTTCAACTGACTGGATACCAAAGGTATTTACACCACTTTACTCTTAATGTAGGTACAATGCGACATCTACCTTACAACTCCTTGACAAAGCTTAATATGATATAACAATGATGTAAAATGACTAAAAATTATGGGTCACCTTCTTAATGAATTTGGGTGAGATGGACTGTAGCAACAAGAAATAGAAAGCTAAAACATAGCTCCATATGGTACTTGATAACAAGATAAAGGGTAGTGGATTATTTATGAATTAGGGAAGGCATCAGGCTGATGTGGGCATCAACATGGTTCCAAAGTTTGAGCCTAAGAATTTTTTTAAATGTTTCTGAACTTTGAGTCGTAAGGGTCACATAAATTAAGATGCTAGTTAAGTTATTAGTGTTGGTTTAAAGTTTTTCTCTTCAGTTTCTTCCACTCTTCAACTTTCAATGAATTCTTACAAAACCATAGACTAGAAAATTCTCTATCTACAAGTCATAAACTTGTCCCCATCTTCTTGGTCCTAAATCCTATCTTAAATTATATCGTTATTTTTGTTTGTTTCACTGTTTCTTTCTTTTTACACCAATCACTTATTTTCAGCACCTTAAAGCGTTTCTAGGAAGGCCATCTATCAAACAACATAGGCACCAACCCAACATTTGGCTATTATTTGTTCTATCATTCTCAGATGGCCCATTGTCCATCATACGGCAATTACTTATTAGTGTTATTAAGATCCTAGGATGTAAAACTAGTCCAACACGCCAAATCTTAACCCAAAGGACTTGAGTTTTAGTTTTAAGCTTTCCATTAAGATCCTTTGGTTCATGATAAAAATGACTATTTCATCAAAGAAATGTTTTCTTCTTCAATTACTACTCTCAAGGGTAAAAATCATTGTTAAATTACATTCTCCTTTATATCAATAATTCCTAAACCAAAGAACAATAAATAAGTTCCAAAGGCTTGCATTTATATTTAAATATCCCATATTTTCCATCATATTTACATATAATTTTCTCAAATTCTGACATAAAATTTCACTTGTGTTAAGATATAGTCTCGTAAATGGAATCACTCAATGCCATTAATTGGATAACCTTGTTTTACATATTTGTTATTGTTCCAATCCAAGCAAACATGATCTTCTTGATTTTTTTTTTTAAGTTTTTTGAAAAGGTGAAACATAGAAATATATTAACAGAAAAAGAAAGGAAAGGAATATACAACACAGACTAGATTGCCCACAGAAAAAAAAAAAAAAGTCAAACAGCTTTGAAACCTGGCAAAAGAAAATAAGCAAAAGTACCCCAACATGATAAAGCTACCAAGATCTATTTCCCTCAGACACAACAAAACCCCTACTAAACATTGACTTTGTATTTGATTTTGGAGTTCTTTTACCTCATGGAAGCTAAAGACAAAATAGTTGTAATTTTCTATTGATATTGAAATGGTATTTGTGAGATTGTAGTACTATGAAAATAGCTTAGGCATGATACATATATGCATGTCCATAACTAAAAAGTCTACAAAAACTGGTGAGATTGACTATGATTTTAGAGAATACTCTTTTTTCACATGCAGATTCAACTATCTGATGCTTTAGGAGTCCCATGCACATCTCTATTTTCAAATAGCCTTTACCTAAACTTGCAGTTATTCTTGATGGTTACCATCATAACGTACAGCAGAACTGATCCTTTATTTGTTCAAGTATATATTTTGCTGATTAGAAAACTGTATTAGTTTGTTCTATTGGCATTGTGCTATTATTAAACTGACAAGATTATCTGAGCATACATAAAAAAAGGTGCAAAGAAAAGTTCTCACTTTCAAATTTCGATAGTGCTTTCATATTTCATACAAAGGTTAAATCCTATGCATATTCTTTTCAAGATGACTAGATGTACGTTTTCCTTCTATTTTCTTGCATATTTAGGCTTTATTGTTATGATGTACCCCTCCAGAGAACCATGGGTAAAATGTTGTTTATGTAGCATAAAAATATTCAGCTTTCCATATATTTATCATTGATTATGGTTAAATGTGGTAATGCTTTCATATATCCATGTCCATTGCTGATTGATTCCATGTTTAAATTGCTCAGTTGGGTGATTCACTGAAATTAAAATAAGTTCAGAACAATTAACACCAATGTATGTTGTTTGGTGCAGTGTTAAAACAACAATTGAGAGGTACAAGAAGACCTTGGCTGATTCTTCAAACTCTGGATCTGTTTCAGAGGCCAATGCTCAGGTGAGATTCACTCTGTGTCTTTCAACAAAGTCTTTAAAGTTAAGTTTGTGGAAGCCAAGAGGCTCCAGGTTAAGATTATGTTTATAATCAAGATATTGCACTGCTAGACATTATTGTTCAATCAATACCAGTATTTGCCATGTATAGAATTTGCTTAATTCATGGTTGGTTATCAAGTCATTTTCTAAAAGAATTGAGAAGACACAATTTCATGATACACCGATTCAGGGTACACATTTTTCTTTTTATCAATTAAAGCAAATTTGATTGCTGGATTATAATTTAACGCGTGATTAGCTATAATTAGTTAACAAGTCGTTCATACATGCATATTATGTTTTATTAGGGCATGGATTTTGAAACTGGAACTCTAGATTTCACCTCTAGATCTCTTTCATGCAGGCATAGACATACAGAAATGCAAAAACAAATATTATTGTCTTTTAATAACTAATAATCTTGTCTACTAATTATAAGAGATTATTGCACAGTTATAGGTAGTTGCTTTTTTTTGGAGCAAAAGTAAAGTATCAATGTATTGATGAAAAGGTCCTTGTACAATAAGAAACTGTACACAAACAGAAGGACCTCAAAAAAAAGTCCAAAAAGTCCATCCTCAAAAAATTACAATCAGATGTATCCCCTTTAAAATCAGTAAGTACTAAGCATAGCCAACCAACTTCTAACAAAATCTACAGCCTCATTGATGACTTCAGCTGCAGAAGAGGTTTTATAATCAATGATCCTCCTGTTCCTTTCCAACCAAACTGCCCACAGAATTGCTAAGGGAATGGCAGACCAGCAAGTTTTCCCTTTCTTAGTCAACCCTCGGGTCTGCTAAGCATTCAGGCAGGCTTTAACTGAGGCTGGCATGCACCAGCTAACCTTCAGACTTCTTAAGAAATGGCTCCAAATCTCTGAGGCAAAACTGCAGTGTAAAAACAATTGGTTTGCTGATTCTGTTTCCCCACCACAGAGACTACATCTCAGGTCACTACAATTAAAACCTTTTCTTACCAGCATCTCTTTGGTTAGGCATTTCTCTAATGCTACCCCCCATACAAAAATTTTTACTTTAGAGGGAGCCACAATCCCCCAAATGGCCTGCATTGGGAAGGGAGTTTCAGCATCTCCCCTTATGGCATTGAAGAAAGATTTAACTGAGAACTCCCCACTTTTGTTCCCTTTCCATTCTAGAGCATCTTTAGATTGCAAATTCAAAACCTGGGACTGAAGAAAAACCAAGAGATTCCCCACATCTCCCAATCATTGAAGTCCCTTCTGAAGGTAGGGTTCCAGCAAACAACATTATCCCTTAACACAAATGCGTCTGCAACCACTGCTTCATTGTCTTCAGCCACATTGAACAGGTTAGGACATAAATCCTTAAGGGAATTTCCCTTATCCAGACATCCAACCAAAACTTGATCCTTCTCCCATTACAAACTTTAAATCTGACTTCTCTTCTGAACAGGTTGGAAACTTTGCTTATACCTTTCCAAAGACTGCAACCATAGGTTGGCATGGGTGGACCACTACCCCAACCCCTTTCATCCAGCCAAAATTTTTCTGCTATGACTGTCCTCCAAAGGTTGTCAGGCTCAATATCAAACCTCCAAAGCCAACTTCCTAGCAGAGCTAGATTAAAAGATTTTAGCCTCAACCCAATCCCCCTTGAGATAATGGTTTACAAATCTGCCCCCATTTAACAAGGTGATATTTATGAGAGTCATTCCACACCCATTACATATACACCATTTCAACATCTTTATATTGATCATCATCCTGACTGTATTTAATTGAAATGTTCTGATGGCCATATTAATCTGCCAACCAAAATATCAGTTCTACCAGCAAGAAGCCAACAAGCTGCGCCAACAGATAGGCATTTTACAGAACTCAAACAGGTAATTTTATCCACAATTGTTGAGCACAATTTGTGACAATTATGCAGATTGAACTTTCCCTGATAATGTTATTTGCAGGCATTTGATGGGAGAGGCTCTTAGCACTATGACTGTTAAAGAACTCAAGCAGCTGGAGGGTAGATTGGAGAAAGGCATCAGCAGAATTCGATCCAAAAAGGTATTGGATCCGATGCCCAGGAATGTCTCTTAAGGTGTACTTATGAAATGCTTTTTGCTTGTTATGATCTCATATGTTCTCACTAACATGCTTTGAAATCTACCAGAATGAGCTGTTGTTTGCTGAAATCGAATATATGCAGAAAAGGGTAACTACTTCTAGTTCTAGACTTGCATTCATGTTTCTCTTTTAAGTAATTCTAGGCTTCACATGACCCAAAATTTTTATGCTGTACTTCCTTCCCATTTTCCATATTATTGTGCTCGTAACATGTTCTAACCTGTGCAGGAGATAGACTTGCAAAACGATAACATGATGCTTCGTGCAAGGGTCTCTCTCTCTCTCTCTCTCTCTTGCATTTTTTTAATATAATGTTGAATTTTTTTGGTATTAATTAATAAGGAGCTTTATGGGTGGTCAGATAGCAGAGAATGAGAGAGCCCAGCAGCAAATGAGCATGATACCTGCATCTGAATATGAGGTCATGCCTCCTCAATCTTTTGACTCTCGGAACTTCCTCCAAGTAAATCTACTGGAACCCAACCACCATTACTCTCGCCAAGAGCAAACAGCACTCCAGCTAGGGTAACATTCTCCACATAAACTTCTCTCTCTCTCTCTCTCTCTCTCTCTCTCAATTTTTGGCTGTTGCATCTTCTTAAAGCATTAAAGTGAATGTTACCCTATTTCTGGAATGTAACTTTCTCTAATTTTATTTTTCTTTTAATTTCCATTGCAGTTAATATGGTCAAAGGACATATTTCTGGAGAGCATTCTCTTTCTGTCTTTCTTCTTTTTGGGAGAGTCAGTATCCTTCCCTGGTGATATCTACAGGCATTTTGAGAAAGCTAAGAACCAGAGGTGGTGGAATAACACAAACAAGGGTCTTAGCATGCTTTCTAGTTATTGCTATGTTGTTAGAGAAGGATGTTGTAAACCTGCTGTATCTGATGAACTCAGTATTCCTACTTTTTTACTGTATGATTTATTCTCATGATAATGTGCATGCATGTCCCTATGGACTTGTTACAATATTTATATATATGTTCTCAGTTACCTAGCTAGGAGATCAGTATCATCTGTGTTTGTGTGTGGTATGTGGATCTTTGTGGTTGGTGTGATTTGTATTAACAATATGGTCTATATTAGCCATGTTTATTTAGTTATTGTTAAGTAATAACAACACAGCCCATGAAGCCCACCTTTTACTTCTTATTGAATACCCCTCTTTTCAGCCCATTGAGGCCTCTTGCTATTTTAGCCCATAGAGGCCCTGCCTATCAAGACATGTTTGTTTGACCCAATGTGGTGCTTTGTTGGCCAATGATGGTTCAATTTTGGCTGAAGAAGCCAACCCATTGAGGGGGCATGTTAAGGAATATTATAGTAAGATGTTTCAATGTATCTCACCTCAATATACAATAGATTAAGATAAGATTAAGATGAAGGGATATTATCTATATCTTTCTTATTCTATTTCTATAAAGATGTAATCTTGATTTTGTTGCAATGTAATATTTTTTACATGCTTTAACCTCTTTTAATTTATAAGTTGCCTTTTTAGTAACTAATAATCATGGTAGAAAGACATTCTATTAGTTATTAGAGAATATTAGTTATATGTAAATTCTATAAAAGTTCCACTTTTTAATTTTTATGTGTTGCATCTTGTCTTCCTTTACAGATTCCATTTGTAGGTTTTCTTCCAGATGTATCACCATTTACAATTAAAAGAAAGTTGGTCTTTTCTTTTCAAAATGCTAAAACAAACTTCAAGGTGAAAAAAAAAACAATCAGATAAAAAACTCTGAGGAAAGGAGAAAAACATAAGTTAGCTTTATTATTTTTAGAATGGATGTTTCAAAACCAAATAAAAATTAATAGCAACAGAAAACCAACTTAATTAAGGAACAAGGGATAGGCATGGGAAGCAGAAGATAGTAGTTTAATCAGTGGACCTGTTAAGTCAAAAATACTCTTGTTTTTCTTATTGAACCTTATTGCTTGGGGATGACAGATCATATTAAATAAAGGCTCTGTCCCTTCAACTTCTTTTGTTATTTTTTATGTTATTTCTAAGAAAATATAAGTAAATATGACATTTTATATAGAAAAAAAAATACCAAGATGATGTTTCTTAAGGAAATATTCTACTATGTTATACAAAATACATTCTACTATCTAATAACAGACATGGAAATTACTTAAAATTAATTAGTTAGTAGATATACAATTAATATTAGTTATAAACCAAGAAACCCAGTTGGTTTGTCAAGATTTTATTAGGGTATAGGAGTTTTATAGAATGTTATTTATTTGTTTAATAATTTAATCCTAATTTGGAATGTCTTTTGGCTTTCTCCAATTGCCATATATAGAATTCTGGTGAGCTTCACAAATGGTTCAGTATTGGACTGTAGCCAACTGCTAGTGAGATCCATGATCAATGACACTAGTGCACAGATGAGAATTGTACATGTCAGCATTGCAGTCAAGCCCTCTCATGAACTCTATGTGATGACCACTAGCATGCTTCTTAGGCTTTTAGCCATAATTTTCCAGTTAATCTTTGTTTTGGTGATGAAAATGAAAGGTTGCTCTAAAAAGAAATTGAGTATAAGACTCCTGCCTATTGGAAAGATAGCTTAATACATCTAAGACTCCTGCCTTTCACTGTTACCACACATAACTACCAAGTCTCCCCTCTGATTTTGGGTGGGTTCAACTGGGTTTATAGTCAACCCAGCCCAATCCTAAGATTTTGGCCCAAGCCTGGACTAAGTCCAAGATCAGGCCCAATATTTCAAACAAGAGTCTAGCCTGCATTGTAATTTAATGCAGTCGGACTGGGTTGGTCAATGAACCCACTCTATAATTATATGTGTATGTATACATTTATGTAAGTATGTAGGTATGTAGGCATATCTATCTATCTATCTGTCTATTTATATATGTATATGTATATGTATGTATGTATGTATGTATGTATGTATGTATGTATGTATGTATGTATGTATGTATGTATGTATGTATGTATGTATAGTTGGGCTGGGTTTGGTCTGGGTACGGGCTACCTAAAGGCTAGGCTTAAACCCAACCCAAAAATTATAAAAGCCTGAATTTTTGAGCCCAAACCTAGCCCGAGGAACGAAAATCAAAGCCCTGACTGTATAAAACTTAGGACTATCGGTTTAGGCTGGGGTTGGGCCTTCCCAAGTTGCACCCCTAATTACAATCCATTTATAGTCGAGTTAGGTGGTATGGCATCCTTTATAAGCACTGTGTGCTACCCACACCTATCCACAAGTTGTTGGAGCTGTGCGTTAGAAACATTTCCTATACTTGTGTGTTGTCACTCATGGGAAGATGTTCCTATTGCTAGGCTATCCTGTGGGTAGATGTGCCTAGTGCTCTTGTGAGTGGCAGATCACGGATAGGTAGGCTCTCCATGTTGTGCCAGTGTGTCTCATGTGCATTCTATCATCATGAAACCGGATTCAGTTATTGCAATACCAGTTCTAACAACTATTATAGCCTTGTATTGGGAATATCTCCCCATGAAATAAAGCACACAAGTACAGAGATGTTCCCAAAAGGCTGTAAAAGCTGTTCAAACGGTATTTGAACAGGACTTACACTGAGTGAAGCTGATCTCCACTTATCCATTATATAACTAGGTCTAGAGTATGACATCTTGCCGGGTTCAAAGTATCAATACACTGGAAGGGATGTATGGGTACTTTGAACATAATGCTTCATTTTTTATTTTTTTTCTCTCAAAATTTCAAAATATATTTCTTTTAATATTATTTAATTATTAAAAACATTTTCTTAAAATATCTCAATAAAACGTTTTGAGAGGTCAGTAATACGATACAGTATGCTTGATACAAGGGGTATCATGTCGATACTTTGAACTTGCCTTGCCCCTAAAAAAACCAATAAAATGTACTTGTGAGTGTTAGGGTTCGAATATAATACTTGACCAATCAACCAATATTACAGAAGTGATAACCAATCAGTATACTCATCAAAATTCACGAGGGGATTTTGATTGATCAAAGCTTTTCCAGTACTGTACCTTTCTGCCATCATAGATTTTATCCAACCAATTAACTATCAACCATGTACTTATAACTTTATTTTTTATTTTCTTTAAACAAAATATTATTTTCCGCATTGTTTTACAAGTAATAATTTATGAATTATAATACCATATCAATTATAATTATTACTTAATCAAATGACTTTTGTACAATGAGCCTCTCATAGTTTTCATTTCAACAAATTCATATAATTAATTAAAAGAGACAAAAATACTAAACCCATTTCTTCTAAAACATTAGTGGGACTCGTGCGATGCACGAGATTTGTTAAGTTAAAGATAAACAATAGAAATATGTAAGAGTATAGAAATGTTTTATATAATAATTATTAATCATTTATATTTTATATACTACTTTTAATAATTTTTTACAATACAAAAATAACAATAATTAATTTTAGATAGGGTTGTTTATCAAACTTAGGTATGGCAATTTTTCCCATTTCCCTGATCCCAATGGGGATCTGCCCCAAATGGGGCAGGGATGGGGATGGTTTTCCCCCTGCAGGGACGGAGATGGGGAAATTTTCATCCCCGTTGGTAGGGACGAGGGGAGCACTCCCTACCCTGCATGGACCCCAATCCCCGCCCCATAGGATTCCAACTAATATATATGTATATATATGCATACATTTATATATGTATATATGTACACATACATCTATATATTAATATTTTTAAAAATATGGTTGAATATGTTTGATTCTTTTATAATAGGATTATAAATTTTAATTATTTTATTTTTATTTTTTAAATAAAATAAAAAAATAATGGTTGACATTATAAAGAATCATGGGGAGTGGGAATCCTTGTGGAGACGGGATGGGGACAGGGACATGGATGGGGATTTTCGTAGGGATGGGGATGGAAAGAGGCTCCTCGTCCCTGCACCGCCCCATTGCCATTCTGAATCCAACTGATGAAATTAACCAACCCGATTTCTAGTATTTTTAGTTAGCTTTGATTCAACAATTTCCCAACCTGACAGGGTTGGATCAGTTTCGCTTTGGCCATTTGTAAGTTGACTAAAATCAAACGATTCAACCATATATATATATATATATATATATATATATAAATATATATATTTAATACGAGAAGTGGAAAATTTCCAATATTTCTTAGGCTAAAATAGTTTATATCATAAATTTAATTTTAGAATTTATTTTTTTAATAATGCCATTGCAATTTTTTTAAAATTTAAACTTAATTTTTAAATTTAATTTTTTAAGTTTAAATCTTTTGAACCAACCGACCAAACCAATATAACTTGAGTGACCAACCCCCAACTTGACCAGTTCGATTTGGTTGGCTAAACAACCTATAACTGAATTGAACCAACTCGTGAACAATAGTTTGATCTCCAATAATTATTAAAAATTTATAGTGAAAAAACACAAAAAATTAAATTTAAAAAGATAAATAACTGTAGTTTAAACTCCAATAATTATTGAAAATTTTCTATTAAATAGCAACACAAAAATAAATTAAAACATAATTATTGAAAATATATTTATCACAAAAAATAATAAATAATTACTAAAATACAATAAATATTAATTTCAATATAGATAAATATTTTTTCATGCGGCGCGATCCGAGCACTCCTAACTGTCTACTGACTGGCTCCTTGTTGGCGACGGACAGCACTTGAGAAGACGGAAAAGAAGGATTCCCGGGGATTTACCCGGTGGGAATACTCCGATGCTTAAGTCAGAACGCAGGGGAAAGAGAAAAGAAGAGTGCTAAAGCTAAGAGTGTAGGTCGTGCTTTATCACTGTGCTCGAGAGAATAGCTCGCAAGCAAAGGTGTATGCAGTTTAGAGTATGAGAATATTAATGTGTTCCAAAGTCTGAAGATCCCTTTTCCCCTCTGCCTTGAGGGCTTTTATAGGGGTGTTCTTGTCAGATCGGGCGTAACCGCCACTGGACCTCT